TCTCTCTCTGTTCTCTCTCTCTGATCTCATTGATATACATGAATACGATTTAGAGAGATGACGAACATGGCAGATGAACAGCCACAGAACAGATGGAGCAGATTAAGGGTCATCAATCAGCAATATATTACTATATATATATATTATATTATGTTATATATACGTCGCGTGTGCATACGTGTGTGTTATGTATTATTATATATTGCCCGGTGCGGCACGGCCATGTTTTCGACGTTAAAGGCCTTGTCTCGTTGATTGTCGTCCGTTGCAGTTCAGTTTCACTCTTCCTCACTAAGAAGCGTGTCTCGCCCCGCATGGAACGTCTTCATGTGGGTGGCTCTCTTCATGGGACAATGGCATGCTCATGTGCCTGCTACAGCATGGCAGTACTACGCACAGAGGAACTGTCCTCCCTACACAGTGAGTACCATTCATAGCGTCAATTTTTACCGATTGGACTCTTTTTACGTTGACGTAATTTTCTGGCGCGTCTCGTATTTCGTACGGGGAATTTCCGCGACGCGTCGTCGCCGTCGGCGACGGATCGAGGAGAAGGGTGCGAGGACTACAGCTGGGAACGTGTGTGCTTGTACCTTTCCGATGGGACCCGGCGCGCGGCGTTGTCGGGCACCGACAGTATTCCTGCGTATCGTAGTTGCGATGTTATCCGTGCATCATGTGTTTCCTGTTAGGTGAGGATTTGGGCGATGACCAATCGTTTTTCTACCGTGGGGATGTTGAGACTTTGTTTAGAGGCTAGCTACTCTTCTCTAGCAACACTGATGTCAGCGCGCTCGGTTGTTGTTTGTTGGACTCTTAGAGCATCAACTCTTGCGAGTTATATTGTACTGCCGTGTTTTTCGCACTTGCTCGTGATTTTCCATGGTTGTTGTCTAGTCGCGTTAGTTTATTTATTGTAGCATGCATTGCTAATTATTATCGATCAAATCGAATGAATGCGCGTCAGTCAGTTCGCTGGCTTTATTGGCCAAGCGTCGTACTCGTTAGCCAAGGTCGTACTCGTTAGCCAAGGTCGTACTCGTTAGCCAAGGTCGTACTCATTAGCAAGGTCGTACTCATTAGCCAAGGTCACATTCATTAGCCAAGGCCGCGTTCATTAGCTAAGGTCATTCGTTAAGTAGGGAGTCATTAATCATCAGTTACCGAGTAAAGTAGATCATATACAAGGCTGCTTATTATCTGTTATAGGATGGATTCGTGGATTACCTGATTCCAAAGTCGTGGTTCTGCAGGGGAACCGGTGCTGCATCCTCCCCATGATTCTAGGAACGGGGTCATAGGTGGCGATCGATCCAGCGATAGACATTCACGCGTAATTTACGTTTGAGAATTTATGCAGTTCGTTATCATTACATCATAGTTGTTTACGTTGGAAGACACAGGGTGCTGTTTGAATATCTTTTTTTCAATTCTTATTTTTTTTAGAAACGGTCAGTTATTTGGACTAAGTTTGCAGTGCTGAGCAAAAAAGTAAATGCATTTCCCATCAGTAAATTCCAAGTCTGAAAATATTTTTTTAGATTGAGACGTATATTTTTAAATAAGATGTTTATGTAAGTAAAGAGTTATGACCAAGTCATTGCTATATGAAAAGTAGCAACATTTTATAAACGTGTGAACATCTAGTTTTACTCTTTTAACCAAGCTCTCCTAAACCGACCCAGTAAGATCATAGTGCCTAGCCATGCCAGAGTGTAGAACGCTGCCAAAGTTTCAATTATGGGTCAGTTTGTCGTGTTTAATATATCTAGTGTAGATACTAGAGAGCCGCGTACAATCACTAATGTGTTACAGTCATCATAAATGTATCAATGCTATGGTATCAGTGTGTATGGTATGATAGCTATCTATAGTGGCAGGTGGATCGGACACCAACAGAATCGCTGCGTACTTCTGATGTTGCAAATTTGTTATTCTTGTTAATGAGCTTTGTAATGTACAGACGTTTGGAGTGTTGACGATTACAGCTTCGTTACAGGCGCTACACTTGCTCTACGACACGGATATCAACACGCATGTTGTTGTTGTGGTTTTGACTTTCGAACATCAATTTTCGTTAATTTCTCTGCGTTCTTCTGACCAAAATGCGGTTGATGATTTCAGTATCCAGAGACATAATCTCATAAGGAATATCATTGATAGCCCAAGGGACTGTTCCAAAGAGGAAGAGAGCCTAAAATTTATTAATTTAACAGTTCAACACTAGATTGCACTAGAAAGGGTAAATTTTTTTAAATTTTGACAACTCTCTCTTTAAAAACAGTCCTTTGTACTATGAATAATATTTGTTATGAGGTTATGTCCCTGGATTCTCTAAACCATTGGCTGGATTTTGGTCAGTTCATGACAGATAAATAGATCAGAATCGACGTTCAAAAGTCACGACCTGTTATATAACATCAGATGGCAGTGCCATCTGTTGGTAGTGATGCAATACGCATTAAAAGTGAGCATTGCAAGCGCTGGTGTGAAACCACCCAGATTTCTTTTCTGTGTTTAATTAATAAAAACAATAGAAAACGACATGGGACCAGATGAAGCATGTCATCGATTGTTTGTTATGGTCGCATGTTATCATTCAGAACTAGTGACGAGGATAGATTGGCAGGTAGTTTGAATCACTGTGGTATATGGAATCGCATGTTACCGACTGCTAGAGTGGTATATTATGGTGCATATATCTAAATAGTAGGCCTATTGTGATATTTGATTGTGCTGTGGCACATGAAATCCATTAAAATGTGATGTTAAGAGGGTTTATTATTAAATGCAAGATAATCACTCAATATATAGAGAAATGTAGTGATCGACATGCATAAAGTTATATCAGAAGTAGAAAAATAGGGATTCCTATTATATAAATTCCCTATTATCTACTTCTGGTTATATTGAAGTGCACATGACATACCGGTATCCTTAATTATACTACAATAGTATTAATGCACAAATGCTCTCAAAATATTTATGTAGTGGGGTATGTATGTTTACTGTCAGACTAAAACATGCAGTTTTCTACATTATATGTAGTGAAAGCTTTATATGAAAAGTTAAAACAACTAGATATATTATATACGTCTGTCAGCCCGGTTGCATTGTCTTGTGGATAAGTGTGTACTTTCATAACACGCGCAGTTCCTCGATCTTTCTTTCTTCGATTGTTGATTTGTTAGGAGCAGAGTATGATAAAGTTTATATTGAAATAGTTTTGTGTTCTGGCTATATGCGGGTGAAGAATTTTGCTATCACACATGAATAGAATTCCAGCATTTTGAAAAGTGCCAGTGGCAGTGGTTTTGTTGCGTTCATACTCCGTGAATACATATCATGTCATTTCCATGCACATGGTTGAGAATTTGCTTTTTGTGATATGTCTCGTATATGGTAATGCATATATGTTTAGGCGTTATGCGTACTGTATGTGATATGTTGGACCATACGTGATTCAATGTATGATGTGGTGGTATGAAATATAATTGCATTTTGTACTCGAAAAAAACAACTTATAAATTTTCATATTTACATTGTCATTGGTTATATTCGTTGAACTTATTGATAGCATGTCAAAATTGTATGGATTGTCTGCATAGTGGAATTTATGTGACATTATCTGACTTGTCTATCATTTGCAAAGACAGGGAAAAATTCTTTTCCGCATAGCAACTTTAATTTTAACCTTGAGTTAATTTTAATTTTGAACCAAAAATCTCACTCGTTAACATTGCAGTATTGCTTGAATTTTCTTGCACTAGATGGCGCTATTTGCGCACACGTCACTATCCACAGGTGTCCCAGTTGAACTGCCAACGAACGCACGTCACAGGTGAAACTGTGATCGGGAAGTATTTCTACGTGTTTACTACAGGTGTGTACGTTCTTCTTCGTCTCTCTCGGTTCACTAAAAGTGCACGCCAGTCGATCCAACCGGTAAGCTAAGTATTACACGCGGTCGGATGCGATGGCATCTTCGAAGTCGGTTGCTAATAGTATTAGTAATACTAGTAATACTAACGAAGTATGACTAAAACTCGAAGAGGCAGTACTCACTGATTCAGGACGGATCGTCACTACACCGGAGTATGTGCATGCTGCACAACAGCGCGCTCGGCTACCAAACCAGTTAATCACTACACACTAAACAACCGTACCACATGAGAGTTGTCTTAAACTAGTACACTAGTACTAGAGCGTTACGAGTTACAAAGTTGTGTTGTTTAGATTATAAACATTAACAACACCACTCCAGTTTGTAACAACTCTAGTGTAGTACTAGTAGTACTGAATCAATGATAGTTTGGGACCCCGCAAATGTGTTTTCGCATCTGTATGTGCTCAACTAATCCGGTGTACTAAACTAGGCTTGGGCCAGTTAGTTAGACTAGCTGTACCGATGCTTAACTTCTACTCTAGGCTTGTCTAGCATCGCTCCAAGAAACGGTCATGTATTAGAAGACTGAGCTATGTGTCACAGCTATGTCAAGCTACCGCCAGCTCTACCCTCAGGCACCTGCAATGATTTTTAATGTATTAATACTATTAAACATATAATAAAGTACTCTTAATGTTTTACTTGTGGATTATATTGCTGCATATAAGCCATACACGATCGTGAAAACCATTATCTGTAGATGTGTATATACCCCAGAAACCACAACGTAGCCCTGAATAGACTGGAAATGCAGTACTGTGAATGGAAATGTGTATGTAGGTTTACTTTATGGTGTCTACAGGTGCTCAAGTTCTCTTTTTGATTTATAGAACTGCATTATGTATCATATATATATATAGGGAAGTATAAGGTATAAAGGGGATACCGGTATATAAGGTACAATAGACATGTGCACTGATAATCGTAAAACGGTTTCTATACAAAACTACTTGAATTTAGATGTCGATAAGATCTGGTAATCTAATTCCTGAGTAGGATGACTTGAAATGTCGATGCCTACTGGGCATGAGTGCCACAACTTCTCTCTTGACCCCTTTAATGTGCCAGGCGTCACAAAGCAACCTGCCAGCATGGTTGACAATTTGAGTATAGAAGGCTTTTTACTACGTTGGGCAAGGTTTGAAAGAAAACATGTCTGTGTTACCTCGGTTCTTGTTCACGTACCTGAGTCAGTACCGCAGCAACAATGTTCACTGAATTCACTTACAAGTTACAAATAGTCCAATAGGTAGTAGAAGTAGTAGCGGCGGCGGTGTTAGTGATGGTATTGGCAGTGATGCTGCTGCTGGTGGCGGCGGCGGCGGCGGTGCTGGTTGTGGCGGTGGCGGTGGCGGCGGTGTTGGTTGTGGCGGTGGCGGTGTG